AAAAAAAATTTTTAAAAAATCAGTGGATAGGATTAGTAAAAGTGAATGGTACAGTATGCACATTGTAATCATTTCATGGTAGACAGGAACCTGAAAAACAGGCTTGTGCTAAAATCTACGCAACCACTGAAAATAACAAGAAGTTATGTTTCTCTTACCAGAAGTGGAGGAGAGAAATAGGGTGGAAGTTGGGTTGTCTAAATGCCACTAGGAATGAGCAATGGGCAAGGACAGATGACTGAGGTGGCTCAAGAGAGTGGGAGGCAACAGAATTTGCAGTGAGGTGGACAAGCATTGTGGGATGCTTAGGACTTAAGATGTTCGTATTGTAGACTTGTGGGCCGAAAGATGAGTTTACGTTGTGTATGATAGTTTAAACTTAACTTATGGGGGCTGGGGATTTAGCTCAGTGGGACAGCACCTGCCTGGCAAGTGCAAGGTTGTGAGATCGATTCCTGGTACCAGAAAAACAAACAAATCAAAAAAAAAAAAAAAAAAACAAAAAAAACTTAACTTATGTTCTGAAGCAAGAGACAGCTCATTTCTTGAGAGTTAGAGAAGAAATGGGGTAGATAGAGGTTTGAAGAGAGAGGAGGAACTTAAAGTTTCTGTGGAGAGTGACAGAAAGGGTTGTAAGTCATGCTGAAAGCTGTTTGGTAATAATGAGCAGTAAGATTAGAGACTGTGAATTTTACCCTGCCCCACTCAGCCTGGGTCTATGATTTTCTCCACCAAGATTCAAAACACGCTCAAGGGAAAGTACAGGAAAGTGGGTGCTTGGGTTTATTCAAGTATGGAGATTTTCCAGATGGAAAGAATTAAAGGGTAAGTGTATTTAAAAATTGAAAAAGTCAAAAGTGACTGAAAAGGTGGAGCATGAATTCTAAACTGAATGAAGAAGGAAGTGGAGACAGGAAGAAGTGAAGAAAAAGGATGAACATAAAATTTGAAAGAATGGGAGATCCAAAGAGGTAGAGGTACAGATCAAAAAACAAACATACCCGGAAGGTAGTGTTGGAGTTAGAGGGTGGATTTTCTGCAATACTGATATGATCAGCTGAGGGTAGCTAGTGGAGGTAGGGGAAGAAACTATCTTTGAGCCAAAACATTCAAGGAACTCAGAGTCCAGTTTGCTGGACAGATCCTGGGTATTGCAATCAACCAGATTAGCAGCAGGAAGTTGGAGAGGAAAACAAATCCACACATGAGTAGATGAAGGAGAACAATCAGGACTTCAGTAATGCACTGTGGTTGACAAAAAGGATAGAGAAAGTTATGGCTCCATAGTACAAGACTCAAAGGAAGACAGATTAAGTTTTAAATAAATACCTTAAAGTAGATCATGCAGAAACACTACCTTCCAGGTATGTGTGGTTTTTGGTCTGTACCTCTACCTCTTTGGATCTCCCATCATGCATCATGTGTGTAACAAATAGGTGCAGATTAA